AATAAAAGGCAAAAGAGATCAAAACAGAAGAAATAAAATCTTTATAGATGACATAGTTATCTCTGTAGAAAATCCCAGAATCTACAAAAACTCTAGAACTAGTGAGTTCAACAAAGTTGTAGGATACAAGATCAGCATACAAAAATCAACTGTGTCTCTATATGTTAACAATGGACAAGTGGACACCAAAGTTAAAATACAATACCCCTGGCAACTGCTAAAAAAAAATACTTAGGTGTATATACAACACCACATGTACAGGAACTGCTGAACACTACACAACACTGATGAGAGAAATCAAAGAAGATCTAAATGGAGAGACATAATGTGTTGATGGACTAGAAGATTCTAAGATGTCAACTCTTACCCAATTGATAGTTTAACACAGTTTCTATGAAAATCGCAGCAAGATTTTTTGTAGATATGGACAAGATTATTCTAAAGTTTACATGAAAAAGGCAAATGAACTGGAATATTTTTAATTAAAAAAAGAATAAAGAGGGCATAATCTATTTACTCAATTACAAAACATAGTAATGAAGACTGTGTGGCATTAGTGGAAACTCAGACACATGGATCAACAGAACAGAAGCTAGCAATAAACCAACACAAGTATGCCCAATTTTGACAAAGATGCACAAGGAATTCAGTGGAGGAAAAACAGCCTTTCAGCAAATGGTAGTAGAGTGACTGTTCGTCCATAGGCAACAAAGAAAAACTCAAGCTGATACAAAAGTAATGTTATACAAAAAACAAAACCAAAAACACTACCACAAAATGGAAACTTTTAAATTGATAAACTGGACATCATTAAAATTAAAAAACTTTTGCTCTGCACAAAGTCCTGCTAAGAAGATGAAAAGATAAGCCACCAAGTAGAATAAAATACTTTGCAAATGATGTAACTGACAAAGGACTAGTATCTAGACTACATACAAGTATCTACACTACATAAAGACACTTAGAACTCAATATTAAAAACACTAAACAGTCTAATTAGAATGTGAGAAAAAGACATGAGAAGCTTTCCACAGAAGATAAATAGCATGAAAAGGTGTTCAATACCATAAGCTATAGGGGAATTAAAACCACGTGAGATGTTACTATGCTCCTATCAGAACGGCTAAAAAAAAATCGTGATGACACCAAATGCTGGCAAGGTCACAAAGTAAGTACATCACTCATATCACTCATACACTGCTGGTGGGAATCAGTTTGGCAGTTTCTTAAAAAACTAAACACGCAACTATCATACATCCTAGGACTCCTGGATATTTACTCCAGAGAATGAAAACATATACTCACACAAAAACCACATGTGAATGGTTTGTTCATAATAGCCCAAAACTGGAAACAACCTAGCCGTCTCCTCATATCACGGAAAGCAAGTCAGCAATGAAAAGCAAACTACTGATTCAAGCAACAACCTGGATGAATCACCAGAGAATTCTGAGTGAAAAAAGCCAATCTCAAAGGTCCCAGGTTGTATGACTCTCTTCACATAATATTCTTGAAATGTCAGATTCATGGAAATGGAGGATTCCTGGGTGGCTGGGGCCGGGGTGATGTGGGAGGGAGGAGGCGATGGAGACACTGGGTACTTTCTGCATTGTAGTCAGTATCCCAGCTGTGGTGCCACAGTGTTGCAGGAGGTCACCATGGGAGGACCTGGGCAAAGGGGTACATGGGATCTCTGTTATTTCTTACAACTCCAGGGAAAACACAATTAAAAAGTTTAATAAAAACTTAGTATTAGTTTCATTTCTTACTACTACAGGGGAAACACAATAAACAGTTTACTGAAAAAGGAAAAACAAAACCCAGCCACTGTGGCCTCTGCAGTCAGTCTTCAGGGGTCTACAGTGGATGGCCATGTGTCTTCTCCAGTGATACCGGCCTGCCATGGTCTTGAGCTGCACCACCTGTGCTCTGCTGGCCTCTCCAGCTGCTTCCCTGGAGGTCACACACATGCCCTCTCTCAGGAGTTCTTCTGTCCCTTCCTCTCATCCCCCTCCCCAGGCAGATCTGGGATGCATGTCATGAACAACCCAACTGTCTCAACTAGGTTGCCCAACTGCCCCAAGTGGGCGGCCAGGGGCAAGCGACGGAGAAACATCCCAGCCAGCTATACATGGTGTTGTCAAGCTGCCAACACTGATGCTTCCCAGACGTGCACAGGTCTCTGGACACAGCCACTCCGTCACAACCAGCTCACATGACATGCTTGGCACCGAAGAGGGCAGCCCTCAAAGAATCGATGCAGACAGGTGAGTCTCACCTATCTTACCCCATCACATCCTGCCACCCAGAAGACCCTCTACAGTCCCACTACCCCTCACCTCCCATACACAAACATCTTCTATTCCATGGAATAAGGTGACTCGCTGTCCCAAACACAGCCCTCTCAAAATCCCACACCTCCTTCAAGAACACTAACAGGCCCCAAGCCAAATGTACTCCCTCTCTCACACCACCACATCTCCTCGCTAGGAACAAGAATCCTGCCTCATCCAGCCAACCACCCAGTACAAAGCTGGGCTCCAATGACCAAATAAATAAAACACACGAATGATTTATTAGTTACTCACACCCAGCTGAAAAGGTAACTGCTCCCTAACAGCTCTGAGTGCTGCTGGAAGGCCCTCACAGCTAAGACCTGGGTGAGCTAGGATGCACCTCTGCTTCCCACACCCAAAGCTCCCAGGTCACTAGGATGACCTTGCTCAGCACCCAGCAGTGAGGGACAATCAACACTCTGAGGAGCAAGTAGACATGAGCCAGGGCCTACCCCCAACATGGCTGAATCCAATTTGTACTTCTCCTTTCTCGAGTCCAAGTCTCCAGTTGTGCTGCTGTGTGCACTATCCCACCAAGGACAAGAGGCAGGGCGTGGACAAAGCTGGCACTCAAGACAGCAGCACACGGCCACACTCAAGAGCCACGGTGAGCCACGGTGCTTCCACGACATAACACAGTCCCTGCAAGAGGTTTCTGTGCCTCTTTAGGGAATAAACAAAACCCACAACTGAGAAAATGAAGCTCAAACCAGAAAGCTCAGATAAATGTCTGCTCCTGGGAAGATGACATCTCAAGAGCAAAAGCCAGCCACGGCCGCTTACTACCTCCCTGGGCCCAGTATCCTCGCCTCTTAAGAAGGGGTGGCCTCAATGGTGGCTGATGTATCTTCCAGCTTTGATGGTCTAAAATAAGCTCAAGATTGGAGGGGCAGCAGGAAGCAGGAGCTTGGGGGAGACTGATGGGAACCTATTGGTTGAGGTTTTCGAATGGAGCCATAAGGATGAGAGTGAGAGGCTGGGGAAGGGCAGGATGCAGAGAGCAGCACAGAAGGCTGTGGACAAAGGCCCCGAGTCTCCTCTCTTTTCAAGAGCAGTTTTTTCCTAAAAGACCCCAGGAGGTAGAAGGCTGGTCTCCCAGCACAAATATAACCCATAGTTACAGTAGTTTCATTGTTTCAGAAACTACCATTCCCATTTTGCTCTGAAGGTCTCAGGTCTGTTTCAAAACCCATAATTCAACTTTAAGTACAGTGAGAGTGCAGTATTTTAAGTTTGCCTCCCCAGTAAATCCAATTAATAATCAACAGATTTTTTAAAAATCTTAGCAGACTGGCCTCAAACATGCAGATTCCATTCTACTTCATCCAAGGTTAAGAATTCGCATTCGCAAACAGCCCTTATGAGGTGTAAAGTCACCAATTTTGGCAGTTGCTTCGAATAACCAGGAAACTGGCAAACCTCTGCCAGAACCTTGCTAACTTCTTCAATCAAAGTGGGCAGTTCTTCTGGTTTGTTAAAGTATAAGAGAAAAAAGTTTAATAGAACATTTCACAAACACTCAGTGAAAGAGGTAAGCCAGGGACCAGGATTCCCTATTTAAAGAGAAGAAAATTAAAATATAGAGGTAAAGGGATTTGTTCAAAGGTCACACAGCTGGAAGTGACAGACCAATACTTGAAGCAAAATCTCCCAACTCCTCCTCATCACATAAACTGTTTCGCCGAAAAAAGCATCCAAATGAGAAGAGGGAAGCAAGCCCTCCTTTACACTCCAGAACACCTTCCCAGGCAAGTGAGTTCTACCCGTCCCAAGCTGACCTTCCCTAAAGCCCTTGGTATCTTAACCATCTATGATTCTGCAGCCTTGAGTATTTGATCAAGCTTTTTGGTTTTAGATGAAGAGAATCTTTTCCAGGAGGTTGGAAACCCGACCTCAGAGAAAGGCCCTGTGCCCAGGCCATAACCCCTGCCCCACCAACGTATTCCAGTTGGCCATGTAAACAAGTCAAACCCTGGGTGCTCTGAAGTGGCATTAAAACCAACCAGGCCCCTTCACCGAACACTGACAGCAACGTTTTCCACCTAAGGGGTTCTTCTGTGACAGGAGTGGCTACAACTAGTTCTCACTGGACTGGAATGTGAAGGGAGTTTCCCTGGCTTCATTCAGGAGGCTGAGAGAAAGCTCTGAGGAGGATGGAGATGATGGCTGTGGGGAGGGTACCCAGGCACATCCCAAGGAGGTGCACACAAGGATCAGAATCCTGGACCTCTAGGAGTTTAGACATCAATCACTGCGGGGGTTCCCGAGGGCCCTGGGGACTGCAGCCAAGCCTCTTGGGGCCTTTTAGCAATACGAATTCCCCATCTCCCAAATCACTCCAGAGTGGGGGACCCGAGAATCTGTGTTTAATGGCTATGACTCTAATGCAGGTTTGGGGGCTACAACCACTTCAAAGCCCTGTTTGACACAGAAGGCTGGGAGACAGAAACCAACTTTCCCGAGGACCCACAGGTCTCCTCACCCCTCGGCCAGTGACCAGGGAATCGGTCCCAGCTCTCCCCTCAACTACAGCCTCCCAGCTTAAGTTCAAGACCCAGACCCTCCTCGCCAGGCTTGGACACCCTTCACCTCTATCCAGTCCTTGACAGTGATGACGATTCCGAATCAGGGCAGGCTGGGTCCCACAAGATGGGAGCCCACAGTCGTCCCCACCCCGCCAACAATCCTACTTCCTGGACCACTCTGACTAGACAAGTCCAAGTCCGGTCCCAAGCCAGACTCTGAGGGCGGGGGTCCCGTCAAGCGTCTTCCAATTCCCAAGCGCTTTGTTCCTACTAAGCGAAACCAGGCACTTTTTGAGTCACCCAAAAAGCGTGATCACACAGCCGGGCAATGAGAACGAGAAAGGATATTCTTCTTCTGCATACTCCAGGATTTTCCCTTTGTCCCGGCTCCATGAACGCACTTCCCGTCCCCATGCCCCAGCACTCGCACAATTCCCTGTTCCATTTTTATTTTCCCTGCAGCCCTCGGCGGCGCCCTCGCCCCCGGCCCACGGCTCCCAGAACCGAGGTGTTCGGGCCGGCCCCCGCCGCTCACCTGCGTCAGGTCCTCCTCCTTGAGAAGATAAGACTCGCGGTGCTTGAAGCAGTTCTGACACTTGCTCTTCTGGAAGATATTGGCCCGGAATTTCCTGCACGGCTTCTCCTTGGCCGCCGACACAGTCGGCGCCGCGGCAGCTCAAGCCAGGCCGGCGCTGAGCTTCCGGCGGGTTTGGGGCTCAGCGCGGCCGCCGCCGCGTCCCTCGCCGACCCCGCCGCAGGCCCAGCCCAGCCTCCTCCCCGGCGGCTGGCTGCACGCGCCGAAGCTCCTGCGCCGTCCGGGTCTCACAGCGCGCACAACTCCCCGCGCCCGCCTGCACAGCCGCGCCCGGACGCCGCCGGCCCATGGACGCGGCCTCGGGCCTGTTGCCTCCGGTCGCCTCTCAGGCGCGATTCGCCGCAGGCCCAGCTCATCCGCGTCGCAGCCGAAACCCTGGACGCCAAGCAGCAGCTGCAACTAGCAACGGAGCACCCCACGCACTGCACCGAGCGCGGGTAGGTGATGGGGTGTATCGGGCGGGGATAGCGCCCGACGCGATTAGCAGCTCCGCCGGCCAACGGCGGCGGCGCGCTCTCGCTGACAATGGGCCAATGGCTGTCCGAGGCGGGACCGAGGCCCACCGCGCGCAGGGTTAAGTAGTGCAGTCCGGTAAGGCTGGGGTCCCGGCTTGGGACATTCAGGTCTGGTGGACTGGGGCCGAGGCACGCCGGGCTGACGGGCCGGGCTCCTGCGGCGGCCGCGGGGGAAGGCGGAGCCGACCTCCTGCTGGCTCTCGGCAAGGCCCCCGCCCCCAGGCTCGCCTTCCCGCGCCACCGCTGCACACCTCACGGAGGCATCTTCCCCAAGCCCAGTTCGGAGAGGATTAGTTTAGCACCTACTGTGTACCAGGCCCTCTCGTAGGAGTCATTTTAGCGTCGGGAAGCGCTGGATACGGCTCCAAGGGCTCGCTCATTAAAGTTTCCCAACATCTCCATTCTCAACCCCATTTTGCATAGGAGGAGACTGAGGAGCAGAGAAGTAATAGCGGGTAGCGTTTCAAGGGATGACTAAGAGAAGATGTCCGCGGACTTGAAGAGCGTCAGCTCCATTATGGGAGATTAGCCAAGGCTGACTCTCTGCCAGGTACTGAGCTAGGCATTCTTTCCCCAGTGATGTGCTTGAGGAAATGAAGGGTCAGACACCTGGAGTAATTTGTGCAGGATCACTCTGCTAGGAAGGGGCTGAGCTGTCACTCCCGTCCTCCCCTGTCCAGCTTCCTGGCCAAACCTGGAGAAGGCTGTCAACGGCTCAGGCAGAAGGTTGCAGGAGCCCAGAGGCGGGGGAGATGTGCTCTTTAGAAAACTTAGGTTGGCTTCAAGGAGGAGGGGACTTCAGGATTCAGTACAGTAACGTACATTACAGGTTTGTATCCTAGGGGTCATAGGCCATACCATATAGCCTAGGTGTGCTGTAGGCTATACCACCTAGGTTTGTGTAAATGCTATGATGTTAGCACAATGGCGAAATCACCTAAATCATTATTTACTATATATGGAATGCTTTTTTTTTAAGGAGCAAAAGTTTCCTTTCAGTGGGAACTAAATTTGGGGCTAGAGTATTTTATTTAATTTTCACCCCAAAGTTGCAAAGTGTTTTGAAGTATTTTCCTGTAAAATAATATATATATTTTTGAGACAAACCTTCATTCTGTCACCCAGGCTGGAGTGCAGTGGCTTGATGTCAGCTCACTGCAACCTCCGACTTCTGGGTTCAAGCGATTCATGTGCCAGCCTCCTGAGTAGCTAGATTACAGGCATCTGCCACCATGTCCAGCTAATTTTTGTATTTTTAGTAGACACGGGGTTTCACTATCTTGGCCAAGCTGTTCTCAAACTCCTGACCTCAGGTGATCTACCCACCTCGGCCTCCCGAAGTGCTGAGATTACAGGTGTGAGCCACCATGCCCGGCCAAAATAATTATTTTAATTTAAATAAAACCCACCAAGGAAATGTCAAGCTTTAAGAAATCTAGCTTCCTGGGAAATGTGAGAGGAAGTCAGCACTGATTTCAGAACTCTGATTATAACAATAGATCCATCCCTAAATGAGGCAAATCTTGGAATCCCTTCCATTTTATTTTATTTATTTATTTGTTATTTTTTCGAGACGAGTCTCACTGTCTCACCCAGGCTAGAGTGCAATGGAATGATCTCACCCCACTGCAACCTGCGCCTCCTGGGTTCAAGTGATTCTTCTGCCTTAGTCTCCTGAGTAGGTGGGATTGCAGGCATGTGCCACCGTGCCTGGCTAATTTTGTATTTTTAGTAGAGATGGAGTTTCACTATGTTGGTCAGGCTGGTCTCGAACTTCTGACCTCAGTGATCCGCCCACCTCGGCCTCCCAAAGTTCTGGGATTACAGATATTAGCCACGGTGCCTGGTCCCACTTCAATTTTTAAAACCATCACTACGCACCATATGCCTATGCTAGGCACTGGAATAAGATGAAGCACCTTCTTGGAGTTTATACACTGGTAATTATGCCAGTCAGTCAGTAATAAGATAGGTAAGAATGGCTGTAGGGGAAGTCAGCTGGGTTCTAGCTTATAGTCACATTTCAGGAACTTATTTAACCTGCTGACTTAACAACCTAAGCCTCTTCTCCATGTGTGCACACAGGGTAGACCTCTGAAGGGTGGCACTGTAACTTCTAGGGTAATGTGTTAAGTCAAGGCAGGATGACAGTTCAGCCTCCACCCAGGCTAGTGCAAAGGGCTCTTCACTCGGATTGAAGCCTTCTCTCCCAGACTGAATTCCCCACCCCCAACAGCCCTCCTACAGAAAATTTGAAGTCCTTGCTTATTCCCTGGTGGCCCCTACCCAATAGGGTCATGAATCAATTATCAAACATGCAACAAAAAATATAGAAAGTTTAGCGAAAATGGCAACATTTTGGAATAAATGACTGTAATGTGCGGTTCTGCCTGCCACCCTAACTGGCACACATTTTGCAGGTCATTTGCTCTCCCTGGAAGGAGGAGTATTCTCAGATTTCACCTTGGAGGAGGAAGAGTTCAGGCTGCCAGAACTGGGCTAGCGCTTCTGAATATCCTGAGACAAGGTCCTGTGACTTCCCTGGGAAGCTCTGCGGTACCCCCACCCCACTCCACCCCACCCCACCAGGCTGCTGGAGTCCTGGGACCCACCCGGGTCTGCGGCCCAAATCCTTCCTTGCTAAGGACAGGGCATGGAGGGGTGTTCCAGGGGCTGGGTGGGAAGGGGGGCTTGGGCGGGATTGTGACATAAGATCACCCTGGTAACATGGAGCAGAACTGGACCCAATGCTAATAAAGGTAGTGTAAATAAAGGTGTCATAAAGGATGGGGCGGGGCACGTGCTTGTCAGGGACACCAGCCTTTAGGGTCTGCCAGAATGGTTCCTGCTCAATGCACAGAACCAGCGCTTCTCATGTCTGGGCTAAGTCTCTGGGCCCTATGGCCCTTCCTCACGTGGCTAATAGTCCAGGAGGCTCAGCCTCTGGAGTGGGTCAAGGACCCGCTCCAGCTGACCTCTAACCCCCTGGGGCCGACTGAGCCCTGGTCTTCCCGCTCCTCCAATCTCCCATGGGAATCTCTCCATGGGCTTAGTTCCCCGGCAGACCCGGGGGGCTTTGATTACCTGGGGTCCTCTGCTTCCTCCCAGAGGTCAACCCCGTCCCAGGAATTGGCTGAGAATTTGGTCCAATTTCTGGACCCAGCTAGAGAGCTGCCCCCGGAGCCTGAGCACTCTTGGCAAGAAAGGCTCCCAGAGGTGGGTCCAATGCCGGACTGGGATCAGAAACAGACCCTAGTTCAGCCTCCTCGCCTCAAAAGCAGGGTTCAAACTGCAGACCTAGATCAGGCTGCAGATCATCAGGCAGATGAAATACTTGTTCCACCTCTAGATAGTAAGGTTTCAAAAGCAACAGAGTCTATAGTTTCTCCCAAGAACCTGAAGAAAGATTTAGCTCAGCACTGGAGACTTGCTAAGGTTGTGGGAATTCCACATCATTTTATATCAAAACAACATCAAAATTTGTTTTGCAGGATATTCTGTATCCCGGCAGCCTGCCTCCAGAACTCCAGGTGAACTTGGATGAGCCTCCAGGTCCTCCTGTGGAGCCTGAACTTTCCCCCAGTGAGCAGAAGCAGCCAGCTCAGCCTTCTGAATCTTCTGGGGAGCTTGAACCTTCTCAGACCCAGGAGGAGACCCTAGCTCAGCCTCCAGAAGAGATGGAACCTTCTGCAATCCAAGAGGAGACCCCAACTGAGCCTCCAGGTCCTCCTATGGAGCTTGAACTTCCCCACAGTGAGCAGCAGCAGCCAGCTCAGCCTTCTGAGTCTTCCGGAGAGCTTGAATCTTCTCCAGCCCAGCAGGAAGCCACAGTTCAGGCTCTAGAGCCCCCTAAGGAGGTAGAACCTTCAAGCCAGCAGATGGTCCCAGCTCAGCTCCCAGAGCCATCTAAGGAGGTTGCAGCTCAACCTCCAGCTCATGAGTTGACACTTCCACATCCAGACCGTGTTCAGACTCAGCATTCAAACCTGACTCAAACCACAGTTCAACCTTTGGATCTGGAGCTTACCATCACTCCTGAATTTACTACAGAGGTTATACCTTCCACAGCCCTGACGACTACAGCTCCTCCTCCAAAACACCCTGAGGTGACACTTCCACCTTCACCCAAGGGTCAGGCTCAGCATTCAAACCTGACTCATCTCACAGTCCAACCTTTAGATCTGGAGCTTACCATTGCTCCTGAATCCACTACAGAGGTTGAACCTTCCACAGCCCTGACGACTACAGCTCCTCCTCCAAAACAGCCTGAGGTGACACTTCCACCTTCTGACAAGGGTCAGGCTCAGCATCAAAACCTGACTGAAGTCACAGGTCCACCTACTGAACTAGAACCTACTCAGGATTCACTGGTGCAGCCTGAAACTTACGCCCAAAATAGGGTTTTAACTGCACGGAAAGAACAGGCCTCCACAAGCACCAACATATGTGACCTCTGTACCTGCAGAGATGAGACGCTGTCGTGTATTGCTCTCGGCCCGAAGCAGAGGCTCCGCCATGTGCCTGTGCCAGCGCCGAACACCTACTACAGCAACTTCACGATCTTGTAAGAATCACCTTTCCCTCCATTGTCCTCTGTGTCCTGCCTGACATGGCAGGCTTTTCCTGGAGGCCTTCCCGGGCCTTCTTTATCTCCCCAAGCCATACTGACAGCTGACTTTCTGCTTTCACCTTTGCTTGTCCACTCTTCCTTCTCCTCATTCTCCTTTACTGTTAGGCCCCTTCTCTAGTCTTTTACTTTTACTCTAGTCTTTTACCCTTACTTGTTTTCTTATCCATTTTTCTTTAGCCTCATCACGTCATTGTTTAACTGCTGCTCTCCTCCCATTTTCACTTCAGCCTCTTTACAACAGCCTGTCCCTCTCCCCATCTCAGTGATGATGCTCTAAGTGATTAAGAGTTGATTCTGGAGCCAGGCTGCCTGGGTTTGAACCCAGGTCTGTCATTTATTAGCGTGGTGACCCAGAGCGAGTTATTCTGTTCTGTGACTGTTTCCTCATCTTTAAACTGGGGATTATGCTAGTTACCATTTCACAGGATTGTTGCAAAATTTAGTTGAGTGAATACATGAAATGCTTGCATCGGTGCCCAGCATATGTAGGAGTGTTGGTTGTTAACATGATTACTCAGTCCTCTAGTTTTGTCCGGAACTCACCTTTGTCCCTGGCTTTCTATATGTAGCACTCGTTTTGTGTCCAACCCAGGGCCAAGTATGCTACCATCTCTGGAACATGAAAATGATAGGAAGGAAGAGAGAATAGGCACAAAAAGGGAGGTATATATAATTAAGTACTAAAAGATAATGCAGAACATCAGTGCTAGAATTTACCAGAATCTGTGATCCCTGAGGTGTGGAGGTCAGGGAAAGCTATGTAGATAAGCTAAAATTTTACTTGGTTCTTAAAGAGTAGCTGTAATTTGTTCAACAGAAAAAAATGGGAGTATAGTCCAGGCAAAGGCATGGCTACAGGTATGGTTGGAATTTAGTAGACCAATCTGGCTGCACAGAATCACATGAGGGAACAATGAAGATATGATTGTGTAAAACCTTGATTATCAGCTATAGGAGTTTGAAAGTTACACAGGGAGATATGGAAAGCCACTGAAAGTTTCCAAGCAAGAGAGATGAAATGATGAAAACAGGAAGATCATTTTATTTTATTTGGTTTTTTGCTTTATGTTCACGTGTAGACATGCAAAGGATTGTTTTAGAATCTATATGTAGAGTGCCCTAGAGGAGAAAGCTTAATTCAGGGAGACAAATAGAAAGGTCTAGCAAAACCTAGGAGTAAAGTGTGAAGGGGCTAAATCAGATCGGTTGCAATAGAAGTGGAAAGAAAAATCCTAGGATTTTTCAGCAGAGGGCACTGGGCCAAAGCTTTGGTGTTACCTGGCATAGGGTTTCTTTCTTCTTTTTTGTTGATAATGATAAGCCTTGCCCATTTTCTGTTGAATTATTTACCATTTTTGTATTGATGTTTTAGAAGGAGTTGTTTAAACACGTAAGTGCTTTTGGATAAAATACTTACATTCAAAGTAATTAATTGGCATCATCTGTCTAAGAGATTGGAGGGATAGGAAGTTAAACTTCAGGAGACGCCTCATCATTTGTGCCAGTGGCCCCGCATTATTTTTGATTAATTGTACAAACTGGAAAGCTGATAGCTCTGGAAATTAAAAGGCAGGTGTTATTTTCTGTAACTGAATATCCCTGACAAGGCTGCCATGATTCTTTTACTTATCCTGTTCATTCTTTTCCTACCTATTCAAGGATATAAACTGTGTTTCTTTACAGGAATTTACAAGGAAACTATATTTCTTATATTGATGGAAAGGTATGGAAGGCATACCATTGGACCGAGAAACTGTGAGTATATTCTCTCCAAATATGACAAAAAAACTAACTGCATTGTAAGATCCTTCTTGGTCCAGAATTTTGAGGTCTGTACTTCTGAGAAAAGGTATTTCCCCTCCATACCCCAAATCAACCTCTGTTGATTGCAATTCTATGGTTATTTTAGAATTAAATTTGGTGAGCTTTCTTTAAAGTAAGAGGTAATTTAAACTTATTTTTTTCATACAAATAATACATGATTATATTCCCTTTTTTTCCTCCCTCTCTCCCCACCACCCGCCTCCCCGCCAGAGACAGGGTCTTACTTTGTTCCCCAGGCTGGAATGCAGTGGCACAATCATGGCTCACTGCAGCCTCCATCTCCCAGGCTCAAGAGATCCCCCACCTCAGCCTCCAAAGTCTCTGGGACCACAGGTGCATCACAGCACGCCCACCTAATTTTGTATTTTTTGTAGAGACAGGGTCTCCCTATGCTGCTTAGGCTGGTCTCAAACTCCTGGGCTCAAGTGATCCTCCCACCTTGGCCTCCCAAAGTGCTGGTATTACAGGCATGAACCACCACCTTCAGCCCGTGATTTTATTTTTAATGTATAAAAATGAAATAACAGATAGAACAAAAACCCTCCTTGTGCCCTACTCCCTTGTTACCTGAGGTAATGCTACCCTGCATTTGGTATATATTCCTCAAGACTTTTCCCCTTTGCCTACATACATATTAACATAAAGCAAAATAGATTTGTTGTGTGGTTTTTAAAATCTTTTTTCTTTACATAAGTGGTAACATCTTGTAACTTGATTCTTTCACTTCATGATATGCCTTAGATTTCTTCCCTTCCCAGTACTTAGAATCCACAACCAGTACTTAGTTACCCTATTCATTTAAACAATCCCAGTACTTAGTTACCCTATTCATTTAAACTCCTGCATAATCCATAGTATGGATGCATCATAGTTTATTTAATAATTCTCCCATTGATGAATGTTTAGATTAACATTTAGTTTTCTTGTTACATGCATTGCTGCAATGAAATCCCTGCACATGCTTCTTTGTGAACATGGGAAATTATTCTTGTAGGATAAATATCTAGAAATGGAATTGTTGGGGTATGGGGTATTTATGACTATGTAGACATAAAATTGTAATTGCCCTAAAAAATGTTGTGCCAACTTGCTCTGTTGTCAGTAGAATATGACAGCATTCATTTCCCCACACTTTTTCACCACTGGGTATTCTCCAACTTTTGTTGATGTTATGGGTGAATAAAAGGGATTCCATCTAAATTTGAATTTTTCTGATTACTCATGAATTTAATTAAATACCTTTATATGTTTATTGAACCTTGGTGTTTCTTCTCTGAGCTTTCTGTCCTTTGTTCATTTTCCTGTTGAATTGTTTATCATTTTCTTACTGATTTATAGAAGGAATTAGTTTAGACACATAAATGATTTTGGGAAAAATGCTTACATTAGAAGTAACTGGCATTTTTCAAAAGAGTTTGTATGTCACATCATTAGTTCAACTTACATTGAACTAATGTAATTATATTATATAGACAAGTCACACGTGAGTTCTAAATGAAAAATAAAACACATGCTGGGTGCAGTGGCTCACAACTGTAATCCCAGCACCTTGGGTAGCCAAGGTGGGTGGATCACCTGAGGTCAGGAGTTTGTGACCAGCCTGGCCAATATGGCAAAACCTCATACTACTAAAGATACAAGAATTAGCCAGGCATGGTGGTGGGTGCCTGTAATCCCAGATGCTTGGGAAGCTGAGGCAGGAGAATCACTTGAACCTGGGAGGTGGAGGTTGCAGTGAGCCAAGATCGTGCCACTGTACTCCATCCTGGTCAACAGAGTAAGACTCTGTCTCAAAAACAAAATGAAACAAACAAAAAAACACAATCATAATAATCTAAGAAGAGGAATTATGGGCACTTTAAAATAGTTTCCCCCACCCTTGTCTGATATCTTATTGATAGGAAAAAAAAAATGCTAGAACCAAACAATTCTGTTTTCTAGCTCTAGAGGAGAGGTGCAACTCTCTGGGGGTTGTGTTCCAGATGGAGTCTTCTGAGAATAAGGAAGGTGTGGGAGATGGCTAGTAAGGGAGTGTACACCCTTCCTCCAGGGTTCCAGGACGCTGTCCACTTTCAGACAATTGTTCCTGCCTGGAGGAAGACACTCTGCTGCCTGACCCAAGGAAGAAGGATATGGGGTTGATGTGCCTCTGGCTTCTCCTACTGCCCTGTCCCAACCAATAACCGAGTATTTCTGATAAAGGAGCATCTGTAGAACTGCTTCCACATTTTGAGCTAACGTTGTGGATTTTAAAATTACTTCTGTTCTATAATTTTTAGGGATTTGGTAGTGGTTGGATGGGTAGAGACCTGGCATTTTCTCAATCTGCCACTTGAAATAGCACAACTTTTTAGAAAAGCAATTTTGTACCTTATTATTACATTCTAGAGAAACTCAGGCAAAAATGTTATCAGGATACAAGTATAAGAATGTTCAAAGCAGCATTGTTTGTAATAAGGAAAAATTAGAAAAATCTCAGCATCCACCCACAGTAGATGAATCAGTACATTGCAGTATAATCATTCAATGGAATACTCTACAGCTGCATTATTTATTAGAAACCTAATGCAAGCCACATACATAATTTTAACTTTTCTGGTAGTCAGTTAAAAAATAAAACTAAAAAGGAAACAGGTAAAACATGTTAATATATTTTATTTCACCCATGTGTCCAAAATATTATCATTTCAACATGTTATCATGCTATTAATGAGATAGTCTGTTTTCATACTAAGTCTTCAAATATCCAAAGTGGTATCATTTCTACATGTAATTAGTATAAAAATTAATTGTGGAGTTTACATTCTTTTTTCCGTAGTAACTTTTTTTAACTAAAGTCCAAATTTGGTTTCTAAATTTTTATCAAAAAAACTTAATCTGTTCTGCTGAGAAATCTAGGGAGAAAGTTAATAATAATAATAATAATACTTAATCTGGCAGGATGTTAGGTAGCTCATACCTGTAATCCCAGCACTTTGGGAGGCTGAGGCAGGTGGATCACCTGTGGTCAGATCACTCCTGACCACAGGTGATCCAGCCTGGCTGACGAACCAAACTCCATCTCAAAAACAAAAACACTCACGCCTGTAATCCCAGCACTTTGGGAGGCTGAGGTGGGCGGATCACCTGAGGTCAGGAGTTCGAGACCAGCCTGACCAATATGGTGAAACCCCATCTTTAAAAAAAAAAACAAAAAACAACAAAACACCTTAATCTATATTTAGATTTCATAAAATTTGCAGTTGAAAAAGTAGCATTGTTTACCTAAATTGTTGCAAACATACATTTTCTAATGAATGCATTGAGTGTCAGCTTTGAAATTTAAAAATAATTAAAATGATTGAAATCAAAGATTCAGTTTCTCAGTCACATTAGCCACTATCACTAGCCAAATGTAGCTAGTGACCACCTTATTGGAAGCACAACACAGGTCTTGAACCAGCCTCAGCAACATACATCTTAAAAGTACAAAGTAAAAAAAAATAAAAAGATATTGAGTGAAAGAAGTGATACAGAAAATAATATGTATATATGATTTCATTTATATAATGTTCAAGAGACTAAACTATGTTGTTTATGACTGACACATAATAGGTAAAACTACATTTCATTTCATTTTATTTTATTTATTTTTGAGACAGGGTCTGCAGTGGTGCAAAACACGGCTCACTGAAGCCTGGACCTCCCATGCTCAAGTGATCCTCCCATCTGAACCTCTCTAGTAGCTGGGACTACAGGTGATGCCAACATGCCCAACTAATTTTCTAAATTTTCTAGAGAGGAGGTCCTGTTGTATTACTCAGACTTGTCTCGAACTCCTGAGCTCAAGCAGTCCTCTCTTCTTGGCCTCCCAAAGTGCTGGAATTACAAGTGTGAGCCACCATGCCCAGCCAGAACTATATTTTATTTCTTATTTATTTATTTTTTGAGATAGAATTTCATTCTTGTCACCCAGGCTCGAGTGCTATGGTGTGATCTCAGCTCACTCCACCTCCACCTCCCAGGTTTAAGCAATTCTCCTGCCTCAGGCTCCTGGGTGGCTGGAATTACAGGTGCCCGCCACCATACCCAGCTAATTTTTGTATTTTTAGTAGAGACAGGGTTTCACCATGTTGGCCAGGCTGGTCTCGAACTCCTGACCTCAGGTGATTCACCCACCTTGACTTCCCAAAGTGCTGGAATGATAGGCATGAGCCACCATACTAGGCCAGAACTACATTTTAAAAGCAAGAAAATTATTACAAAAGTCAGGATAGTGGCTACCTATAAGGATTAGAGAGAGGTTTATGATTGGAAAGGGTCACATTGGGGGCTTCTGGGATGCTAGCGGTGATCTTTTCTAACGATGTTACATGGGTATCTGCTTTATAATTATTAAACTGAATATTTGGCCAGGTGAGGTGGCTGACATCTGCGATCGCAACACTTTGGGAGGCTGACAGGAGGATCGCTTGAGCCAGGAGTTTGAGACTAGTCTGGGCAACAGAGTGAGACCCTGTCTCAGAAATTAAATTAAATATATACAACATTTATATTTGTGCACTTTATGCATATTGTAGTTCTCAATTTTTTTAATGTGGAAAAATTTGAATGGCTTCACTTGCAGCCCTGACATAGTTCCATGTGGGGCTTTCATAATAAGGTTTGGGGAATAGGAGGAAATGGAGGTTCTGGCTGATCTTGGTGTCACCCAGGGTTGGATTCTAACAGGGACTTTGTGATTTAGAGAGGACAGATTTATATACAATTTGGTGGAAGAGTGGTAGGGTGTGCTTGTGTGTGTGTGCATGCATGTGTGTGTGTGTGGTAGTTGGTGGTGGTGTCAGAAGAGATGGACACAGAATGAAAATGTAAGAGAAGGTTTTATGAAAGTAGAGCAGATACCATCTTGAAATTACTATTACCCAGCTTTCCTCCAC